TCCAAAAGATGATTGCAGGAAATATTTACACAAGGAAAGCTTACAAGGAAACAAAATAAAGTAACCTAAAACTACTTCGGGGTCAAATCCTTAGCAGCTGCATCTTCAGGATTCACATCTTCGGAAGCCTTGCCTTCGGGGACTTCATCCCCGTCTCCTTCACTCTCTGAGACACTGGTTGAATCATCTTCATCGGAAAGAATAACGGCCGCCTCTTCTTCCAAAATCTTCTCCGCTTCAATATCGGCTGAAAGATCGAAGCCGCAAGCATGTATCTCCTCGAGGGTCATCCTCCGAGATTGTCGCCTAGCATGGTCAAGGGCACTTGATAACTTAGCCTCCGCCATAGAAGAGATCTCATTTGCCCGAGCATTAGCTGCATCGGCATCGGCTCGATACGAATTCATAATTGCCGCAGCATCGGATTTGGCCTTGGCCAGCGCAGCAGCAAATTTGGCTTTAAGCTCTTCAATTTCGAGGCCCCGAGCTAGGTTCTCCTCCTTTGCACCTCGAAGCTGGCGTTCGAGCGAAGCTAGCTGTAGACATGTGATTTTTGACCCTCCCCAAGATTTTTTATATTTTAGCACGGAGATTTTTAATTTAGGCCTAATGTAGTTATTTCAACTAATTTTTACTCTTTTACTTTATTTATTACAAGAAAACGAAAATTACAAAAAAAAATAGTTTCATTAATATTTTGTAGTCATTTTTAATCTTGAAAAATACCAAAAATAGTTTTGTTTTAACGGTGAGTCTTATTTTAATAGTTATGTTACTTAAGAAGGGTTAATTAATAAATGAGATCGTATTTTAGTCTCGTTCGCGGGGAAAAAATAAAACTTGGGCTCGACAACCCTTTTTTTAGCCTAATTTTTGGACTTAGCCCATAATTCCTAGGCCCATACCCCTTAACCTAAATATATCCCTAAAAACCTAAACCTATAAAAGGAGCTAACCCCTACACTATATAGAAATTAGCCGATTCTACACAAAAGGATTAAAAATCTAGAGCGTAGACTAAAAAAAAGAAAAAGACGGAATAGGAAGTTGCTCAACTTCTGATGAGGATTTTCCATTCTATAGGGGACAAAATAGAGAGAGCACAGAGGTGAAAACAAAAGGGAATATTAGCAAATCTTAGCTAAAAAAGAGGAAAAATCATGAGAGGAAACGGAGAGAGCTAAGAAAGATGGCAGCATCTGCTGCGCATAGAGGATAGCGACGCAGCTCTCGCTACAGCGGCCGGATCGACACCATCATTAGCTCTTCCACCTGTAGCTCATCCTTGTTAAAATCCTTGTTCCGATCGTGTCGAGTTCGCGGTACGGGGGATTTTTCCGGTCGCGGTCCAGATCGTCTTTCTTTTCAAGTTCTGTTATCAATTTTTGGATTTTGATTCCATCTCACAGCTGCTTTGTTAATGATTTGATTTGGATATTCTTCTTAATACAAAGGTTCGATTCTTTCCTATCTTTGGGTGTTAAATTTTTTTAGTATTTTTCTTCACTTTTGTTTGTGAATGTTGGAATTCAAATGACATTAGCCGTGTGTTATCATTCTCTTGTTTTAATTAGTTCCATGTTTATTATAGTCAGGCGTGAGCTTTTTGTTTTATCCCGTTATTGTCCAATGCAGGGATACCAAGATTTTCATATGGGTGATGAGTTTGTGCTTGTATGACTAAGTAACTGAGTCATGAATTTAATTTAATTTGATATATTTCTTTAGCTGGTTGGTTTCCATATTAAGTAGTAAACATCGTAGCTTGCTTTAGGTGCGATTAATAAATCATCGTGGCTATGGGTACGGTTTCCGTGGTATGGTCACGATACGTAATTCCAAAATTTAGGGGTGTATTTCATGTAACCCGATTATAACAACTTCGAATAATAAAATCTTTTTTGAAATAATTTGAGGCGTGCCATGCCAAATAAAACCCCCAAGCCCACGACCCTCATGTAAGCCTTCGTAGTTTGCTTTAGGCGCGTTAATTAAATAAATTGTCGTCGCTACGTGTACGGCTCCCGTGACATGGTTATGACACTTAATTTAAAAAATTCGGGGGTGACCCGGTTCTCATTTCCAACAAGGTTAAATAGAACGTGTCGTGAACCGCGGGTGCATTTCATGTAGCGTGGCTTACGATGTGTTTTAAATAACATTGATTTTTCCTGAAATATTAAAAGCAGCTAAAAAGTTAAAAATGTATAATAGGTTTAAAACGTGTAATAAATCGGATAATAGGCCAATTTTAATAGTTTAAGCCACCGTGCTCGAACCACAAAATCCGGGAATGCCTAACACCTTCTCCCATGTTAACAGAATTCCTTATCTAGAATTTTTGGTTTCGCAAGACTTTTGAATAAAGTCGAAAACTTCCTCGAATTGGGATTTTAAAATAAACTGGTGAGTTTGGACACCAATTAAACTATCCCAAGTGGCGTCTCTAAAAATAAATAAATAATCTCATTTCAAATAATGTCACTTAAATTGGAAAAACTCCCTTATATCCCCTCTCGGGTGGTAAAAAAAAGGTGTGACAGCTCTGGCGACTCTGCTGGGGACCCAAACCCAGAACTTCGGTTCAGGGTTTAAGAATTCGAGCTTAGAATAACTGTTATAGTTGGCTTGTTTTATCTGATTTTCACATGTTGAGCCTAATGTGCTAAATGCCGCTTTTACCGCTTTGATATTGTTTGGATTTTATATAAATTGCTACGAAACCCTATTCTCTCTTAGTCTTCTAAATCATCTAGGAAGTGTGCACTTCGTGTGACTTCTTTTTTGTTAGAGTCTTATCCCAATTGTAGAACGAGGTTCGGACAAGTTGCAAAGCCGGTGAAGCTTCTGTATTCCCGATACGCTGCCCTCCCTCGGCTCGAGCTGTCCGCTCGGGTATGCCAGGTCTAGAACAATACACTGAGGGTTTTAAACCTAGTATAACAAAACCTCATGCCGGATCCCTAGTAGGTACGTTTGTTTGCATCACGTGCATCTGACTTTGGGGACTCAACATAGGGGTTGGGTCCGTCTAGGACAGGTGTACCCAAATTAAAAAGACCATCCTGATGCATCTTACATGCTACTTGCGCATTTGTTTGATTCGACTTGCATGTTGACCGGCTTTTAGAATAAAAAAAAGAAAAAAAATCAAAAAAGAAAAGAAAAAAAAAGAAAAAGAAATCCAGAGTGAGCTAGGAAAAAATATGCTGAAAAACCAAGTATTTGAAAAATCCTGAAACTCTGCCGAAATTCTGAAAAAGGAAAGGTTATTCAACGTAAGCCAAAATTTTCAAGTGCCATGTTTCCCCTATTGCGTCAAAACTGATGAACTACGCGGGTCTGATTCTCACCGGATGTGAGATATGTACAAAATCAGATGGTGACTCCGAAACATGCGAATACATCCGCAAGTTTACCTTGAGTCTCCGCAACAAAGGCCCGTGCACGATCAACTGACTC